GCTATCACCCCTGTAATCACAATCTTTGGCCTGAAAGTCGAATACTAGACCTATAATTTACATAGATTTCTGTTGCTGTTTGAGTTAGCAAGTAGTAGCAGCTAGCTATAGCATTTTGACAATTTTTAGGTTACGATTAGTTTAGGATGGCAGCCATTTACTTTAACCTCGGCCCCACAGATGTTTTGCCAGTTTGGTCTGATTTGAACAATTTCTCCAAACTGAGGTCATTCAAAGAGCTATCTGCAACAGGTAAGATACTAACTGTTCATAATCTTTCCACAGAACCCCACTTTCAAATATTTGACCTGTTAAAGTAGTGTTGTGTGCAGTGTTGGAACAGATCAGTTTAGAAAACAAAAATCCTGTAGATTATACAGATTTTCAGAGTTTTAATAATTGAGCTTCATGACGCGCTTCTTTTGTTTCTCCTCCTGGTGTCTTTTTTCCAATAAACTCATGATACGCTCGTTCCATTCGCTTCCTCTCCCCGACTTCGCAGCAACTTTAGACCACACGTAGCCGTTAAAGGAACAAAACCGGAGGAATGAGAACTAAAAAGAAACAGCGGGGGAACGTTGTCCTTTCTCCTCCTCCCACTTTCCGCTTCACACCTCGAAGGTAGCTGCTTAAAATCCATCGCTGCTGCTAGTCAAGAGGCTTTCATCGAGGCTCTTTTTTTTTTTTAAAGTTGTAAAGCTCTCGTTCCGCCGGTCACCAATGGGGTTCTGGATAATTGAGAAATTTCCCACTGTGCCCGCTCTCCTGGTGAAACATCCGAGCAAAAGCCAGATCAGAGCACTCGGCAGCTGATGTTATAAGTGGTTGATGTCAAGAGATCCTCTGTGAAGCAGAGAGAGAGACATCATGTAGACACAAAGAACTACTCATCATCTTCAAATGATGACAAGTCACTGGTCAGACCAGCAGACTGTAGGCAGATTCTAGGAACTCTTATCTGCAGGTTTTCATGCGGCGAGAGATGTTTTGTGCTGGAAAAGGGGCAGAGAACTTGGAAGGCAGCGAGGTTTTTATTAGTAAAAGAGCAAAGAGACCACCCAATTAAAGATGGCCGCCGCAGCCATCTGACCTGGTTATTGTCACCGCCCGTCCCAGAAGCACGATCCGTACTGTCGCTAAAACACACGCCTCCAGGAGGCCTTTTTGTTTGTTTATTAGCGTGAAGCATTTTACTAAACTGCTTGATGACAGAAACAGTTAAGAACTATTAAAAAAATTAACATATGTTAGACTAAATTATTAGTTGCGGGTATATTAATTAATATTTTAATTAATGTAAGTTTGCTTCATACATCTGTATTTTATTAATGTCAGAGTGTATATTATATATGTTACAATAAAACAGTTTTACAGGCTATAATTATGCCTTTTATAATTAAGGATTAAAACAATTATTTCCAGTACTTTTTCCTAAATYGACCATGTTAATTGGCAGATATATATGAATGAGTTATTCATAATAAAACTCAGATTTATACCTTTTTTTAAAATTCCTTTAAATGATATTTTTGAATCATGAAACATTTTTTGTTGTAAAGTATTGTTTTATCATTATAATTAAACCAGAGAAGCTAATGTAGCTAATCAGAATCTCACACCGACCAGTTCTTTATTTGAAGTAACGACATATTGTTCACTTCTCTGTGCTGATATGTTGTTCTGTTTTCGTGTGTGTGTGTGTGTGTGAGCGTGCATTAACTCCATCTCTCCTGCGTCTCTCGGCAGATTGCTGCGACGCCTCTGATGAATACAACAGCCACACTCGCTGCCAGAACTCGTGCTGGTCAGTTGAATCAAAACCAATGTTTCTTTGTCTTTTTTCCTGTTTGTTTTTYCCCCAAATGAAACCAGTTTTCTCTGCAAAAATGATAGAAACCAACTGTTCAGCTTAAGTAAATAAACCTGTCGGCAGTTGTGTTTTTAATAGAACGTGGTTTAATCAGATGTCCTGCTTCTCAGCAGGAGTGAGTTCTTTCTTGCGCCACCAGGGGGCAGAGTGACATTAGGGTCTGAAAACTGACTGACTTGAGTCAAATCAGTGTGTTGTGGTGTAAATTTATGACTCATAATCTCATTTACTCTTCTTTCTCTCCACTAAAAAATGTTTTCATCATCCAAAGATGTTTTCTCCTGGTGGATTTGTAAGAATCAATTTTTTTGTGTAATTGCCAAAAAGTGATGCCTGTTTGCAAAATATCTCACAGAGCACTAAACCAATTTAAATGAAACTTTCAGAACGTAATCATCGGATTTGCACTTAATTCAAGATGGCCGCCACAGCCAATTAACCTTTAAAAAAAACACAAAGGCTTTAAACAAATGACATTTCTCATAATGCTTTTTAAAAGTTTGACCAAAATGCCTTCAATTGTTCCACTGATACAGTCTCCTTGATGCTGCAAAGTTTGAGCACACCAAGACGCAGAAATATTAACCTGCCTTGTGTGAATGCACGCTAACCCACTTCTTTTGTTGACAGCCCCCCAGCCCCCCCCCCATTATTTGTTTCATTCATTGCCGTTCGCCTCAGAAACCGCGTGCGAGCCGAGTCGATCTCATTATGTTCTCACAAGGTCCTCGCTCGTATTGTGTTTGCCAGACTTCAAAAACGATTTACCTCAACCACATAGCATCAGCCCCCCCCCCCCAACAATCTTATTTACTCTTCTGTTTTGTTCCCATTTGGATTCCTGCCGCATCGCAGGGCCCTTAAAAATTGGATTACAGCATCTCGGTGACCACAGCGGTGGAAGTGGAGGTTGTTTTTTATTTTTCCCCCTCAGTAATGATGCGTTCTGTCTGCTGCCTTTTTCTCCAGGAATCTGGGGCAGAAAGAGAGGGCGTACGTGGAGGGGCAGATGAGAACCTTGGACGAGGGTTTGCGACTCAAGCAGCAGCTGATTGAGGAGGGAGTGCTGCTCTGGAGGGAGAAGCAGGTATGCTGCAGGAATAAACAATATGAAGGAGCTGCAGCAGAAAAATCAATTGTTTTTCTTTTTGTGCATGTTGTTTTGAATGTTTTACTTTTTGTTTGTCTGGGAGTTGCACACGATGTGTTCCGGAGCCATATGGTCCTGCAGAAACACCATAAGCCTTTGATTTCATTTGAATTCTTCAGGAAGTTAAAACTAAAGCTAGAGGAATGGGGTTTGGTCAAAAACTGTCACTGAGCGCTGAATCACTGCTGAAAAAGCTGCAACTGAGATGTTTAAGCTAAAATAAGCAGAACACTAGGTTAAAACGAAATTCAGCAAAACACTAGCTAAAAATTAATTCAGCAGAACAATCGGAAGATGGACTGAAAGCTAACATAAACAACACAAGCTACAAACTAAACAGAACACTAAAAAATAAAATCAGCTGAATATTAGCTAAATACTAACGTAAGAAGAATACTTGTAAAAAACTAAAACTTGCTACAAACTAGTCAAAACACTAGCTAAAAAATTAAAATTTGCCAAAAACTATCTAAAATTAACTAAAAAGTAAAATTAGTATAACAGTAGCTACAAACTAAAATGAGCAGAATATTAGCATAAATAACACAGTAAACAGAGCATTAGCCAAAAACTAAATTAAGCAGAACACTTGCTAACAACTAAAATGAGCCAAATACTTGTGAAATAACTAAAAAAGCTAAAACTAGCCAAAAAGTAAAGAAAACAAAACACTAGTTTCAAACTAATATCAGCAGAATTTTAGCTAAATACTAAATTACACTTAAAACACGTGCTAACAACCAAAATAAGCTGAATACTAGCTAAAAACTAAAATAAACTAAAAGCTAATAAAAGCAAAAAAAGTAGCCAGGAACTTAAGTAAACAAAACACAAGCTAAAAACTTGTATTAGCAGAACACTAGCTAAGAACTTAATTGGAAGATGGACTGAAAGCTAAAATAAACAGAACACAAGTTAAAAACTAAACAGAACACTAAAAATAAAATCAGCTGAACATTAGCTAAAACTAAGGTAAGAAGAATACTTGTAAAAAACTAAAATATACTAAAAACTAGACAAACTAGACAAAACACTAGCAAAAAATTTAAATTTACCGTAAACGAGCTAAAACTAACTAAAAAGTAAAATTAGCATAACAGTAGCTACAAAGTAAAAAAAGCAGAATATTAGCTAAAAAACACAGTAAACAGAGCATTAGCCAAAAACTAAACTAAACAGAACACTCGCTAACAAGTAAAATGAGCCAAATACTTGTAAAATAACTAAAAAAGCTAAAACTAGCCAAAAAGTAAAGAAAACACAACACTAGTTTCAAACTAATATCATCAGAATTGTAACTAAATACTAAATTACACTTAAAACACATG